GAGACTTCTTAATACCCACTATTTATTCCTTGAGAAGGTACTTGGACACTAATCTAGTCAGTTCTCAATCTTCATTTTGATAAACTAAACAGATTGAGATTTCAGGTTCCCACATAAAGCATTTATTCCGGTCTTCACATCATTTTTGTGCTTCTCTTCTAAACCCTCCTCTAAGCTTTTCACCTCCTTTTATAAATATGGACACCAGAACTTTATGCAGTATTCTAGGATCTGTCTTCCCCAAGCTGAATATACAAAGGTAAAATCAACGCTCTTCTTCTCATTCCCCCCTGTTTATACATCTAAGGATCACATTAGTCCCTTTTACCACAGCATTGCACTTGGGCTCTCGCGTTGAATTACTTGTTCTTAAGACTAGTTGATATGGAAAAACAATTGTAATGGGTAGTATTCTAATGTGATGTATGTTCAGGTAGCTCACCTTTAAACCTTGGTGCTCCACACTACTGTGCTCAGAGACAATGCTATGGTTTTCAGTGTTAGAACACGGCTGCTATTTCTAATCTTGCCCTAATCCAAGGTGAGCAACCTTTTTGGCATCAGAGGCCGCTGACCCACAGAAAATCCAGTCGGGGGGCCACACACAAATGAGAAGCCAAAACAAACCCTCACTGATGACCCTAAATGAGAATTAGAAAAACACTACCCACATTCCCCTTGCACACTAGGCCATAGGCATGCACAGGGTGGGCCGGGTGTGCCTAGGCACACCCTAATACAGAGGCGGACTGGCCCGGTGAGACGGAGCCACCGAGCTCCGCACCCCTGCACCAGAGCCGGTAGGGGTGCCGGCAAGGAGGCCAGCAAGTTGACCCCGGCTGGGGAAGGTACCAGGCCGAGGGAAGGGAAGCCGTCAATCCAGGCGGCAGCATCGGGAGGAGCCGGGGCTGCGCAGGAGGTGGCATCACGTGCAGTGCGCTGGAGGGGGCAGTGCCACACTGGCGTGGCATTGCAGCTCCATTTTTTAAAATGGCCAAGCCGCGGATTGTGGAAGAAGACGCGCGGGGGAGCACAGCCTGGCTAGAGGCAGAATGGTGGCTGGGCCGGGGCTGTAAACGCCAAGCGGCCCAGCTCTGGGTCTGGTACGTTGTCTGGAGCCTGAGCTGTGGGGACTTCTGGGGTCCGATCGCAGCAGACTCCAGCCCTGCAAATTGGAAGGCAGAAGGTAGGTGAGGAGGGGAGGGGATGGGGGAAAGATAGGGAGAAGGGGTGGGAGAGGAAGGGGCTTGTGCTGATGGGAGGGGGGCAGGTCAGGAAAGAAAGGGGAAGGCACCAAGGGATAGGGTGGAGGAGAGACAAATGCGGGGGGAGGGGGGTAAGTGGAGACAATGAGGAAAAGGGCAGGAGCCAGGAGGGGAGGTGTCAGTGGGAGGGGGGACAGGGTGATGCTGGGAGAGGAGATGGTAAGGGCATTGGGGACTAGAGGGGGGAGGGGCT